TTTAATATATTCCTTACGCCCTGGTTTACCCCTTATTTACAGAAAAGTGCCCAGAACAGCAATTGATAATGCAATCTACACAAAGCAAGTTGTTCCTAAACATACTCTGAAATATATTCCAAGATGCATACAACACACCTTCCAAATTAACCTATCAAAATATTTAGACGAGGTTCTGTTTACCTATTGCACCTTATCTTTGAAACATTGTCAGGTGATGACTTAATAAATTACAATTATAAAACAAGATCGCGAAGGTCTCAAGTTCAAGTTCTGTGTGCCGCTATCATAAATCTATTTGATATTTACACATGATAAATAAAATACAGCGCTTAATGTCATAACAACAAAAAAACATTCAGTCTTCATTACAGAGCCCGTAATGTTATGTTTAATAGGAGCCTATTCTTATTGACACACCCAGTGTTAAGACCTTTGAAATCCTTTTTGAATTTCGGCAAATATATACACGTTATGTCAACACGTTCAATTATATTTATCATCTGATCAAGTTTAATGATTCGAATCTATGAACCACAAACGCGCATGCAGGTCGCACGTTCTTTTTCTCCGTGCAGCTTTCCTTAATGTATGTATGTGATAACGATAAATAAGTAAGTAGGGATAACAAGGCAGGGGATATAAAATATAGATCGGTGTTCAATTTTCAAGTCACTTTTTTCGAAGAGCTAAGGGTAACTATTAAATTACCGAACGCCCTACTTTGTCATTATGATTTCACAAAACTTTTGTAATACACCAGTTTACAGTTGTGTGCGCCGTTTTAAACAAAGCCAATGACCTAGAGGTCATGTATTTATGCGTAAATTAGGATTCCGCCCATGCAAATTTTGATAATATCACTGCCCTACGCGCTGCGTTGTGCGCGCACATCATCATTTGCCAGAGGTCAGAGGTTATTGGCCCCGTTCTGGGGCCAATGACCCGAGGTCAACTGTCTGCGCATGCGCACTGATACAACTGTAAACTGGTGTATTGAAAATGAATTGATGATTTGTTTTCTCCATCTGTTGGTTGGTGGCAAACAATTGATAACTTATAAATTAAAACTCTATATAGATACAATAATGACACGACATAATCAACACAAGATGATGTCAACCCTATCCCCCCTCCCTCATAAGTACACACACGCATAATTCCAATAGTAACGTTCACTTGTGACATGGGGACGTTTCACTTCGTTTTCACTTATCATGTGATATGCAAGTACTGTTTGCTAATATGTTTGCGTGCAGTTATTATACAGTTATTTATATATCTAAACAAACAGGGCTCCGTCTGCATTTCGCAATACCAATATTTGGTAATAGGCGGTATTTTCTTAGTTGTTATTCTTAACCTTTCTCGCTCTCTATTTCTCTATCTCCCTTGTTTTTCTCTTATCTTGCCTTCCCTCTCCGGTTTTGCCGAAATTGTTAATTCCTAAACACCATTATGGAGATAATTTCTTGGTTTGCAATTAAAAGCTGCTACCATTTACTTTACTGGAAAAACACATTTAAAAAAACGTTTAAAAAAAAAAAAATATTGGTGTGTGTGTTTCTGATGGGTTATGCGCATGCATACTTATTGCTGCTCGGCATGCGCTACCAGTGAAACAATGAGGGTCATGTAATGAAAAACCGGAATAATTAACAGTTTTTGTATAGATTGATCATTGACACTAAATAAGGAATGTGAGAAACACCAACAGTTTTTGATTGCAATGAAAATGCCCCTCACATGAACCCCTTCTAGGGGCATTTGCACTGCAAAGCAAAACTGTCGGTTTTTCTCGATTTATCTCACATTATCTTTTTGAGCAAATATGGCTCTATTTGTTTGCAGTTGGATCTATAACTATATAATATAGGTTTTCTCAAAAATAATGTTTGTACGCAAGCACGCATGTGCTAAAATTTATGAAAATGTCAGTATCAAAAAGGACTTGGGATAGGTGTTCGTAAAGTACTTCATGGATGTGCAAATTTTCTTTTGATCGATTTTAAGTTTTTTTATACTACGACTTTCTATTTTTCAACGAATTTCGCTGAAACTTTCACTGATCTGCTTTTTTCATTTTGTCTACCTGTGCTTAACAAAAAGACTTCTCTTTTAAAAGCATACTTTACTAGAAGCACTACCGTAAAATCCCCTCTAGCGCCATTTCAGGTCAATAGCAGTACAGTCGCAAAACTGGCTGCTTCCTAATAGCTGCGATGTTGTTTTTGCATCACATGGAAATTAAGTATTGGGTTATGCATTGTTGGCAAAATAGCTCTCTAGGGCAGACAATTCATCATTTTAGTACTGATTTAAATTACACAGGTAAGAGAATCGAAGACAAAATTCCAAGACGAATTTTCGTCTAATCTTATCTCGTATTTTTGTTTAAGGTGTTGTTCAGGTTCTTTAACAACTTTAAAGAACCAAACGTGGCAAGAGAACCAGCATACTGTTTGGTGACTTTAAAGCGGGTATCATAAAATGTAAAGAGCTTTTCTTTAGCATATTTCAGATAAATAATGCAAATGAAACGCCCCACAAGGCCCTTGGAAGTTGTTTTGAGTGTTCATATTTAGAACGTGCATTTTAGCATTTACATAATGTGAGTAGATCAAGTTAATCAAGGAAAATTATTACCCGCGATTGCGTAGGTGTCAAGTTCAAGTGTCCATGCAGCTGCAATATATCAATAAACGATATATTTCATTTTGAATTTCTTACAAGATGAAGAAATTATAGTATTAGTCTCAATTGTCGATACCAAAACGAGCAATATTTAGAAAACTATGGCATTCAAGGCGTTTTACAATGATATTCGAAAAAGAGGAGTATGCGGAAACCCTGTAAACAATTTTACGGGAAAAATATTGTCTGTTATGCTTTGACGCTGAGGGGAAATGTATGCAAGATAGGTATATTAAGATATTCCATGTTTGAATCATTGTAGTGTTTCCCCTACAATAAGGTCATTCGGTGCTAAATGTGAACAAGCTAAATACGAGATTAAAACTCAGATACTATATGGAAAGCTTTGGGGCGAATTCGTTCATAAAATGGATTGCTCACCGGCTCGGTCAACTCTGCACAGAGCTTCGCACCAAGTCCCGCAGTGTGCACTGGCGGGTAACACAGATCACTGGGTGCGTCCATTATGACAAAATAGGGAGAATGGGTCTTGTTCATAACATGAACATAAAACAAGGACGATTTCATTTGCATGTTTATGTCTTTTAATGAAACTCTAAGACGACACAAAAAGCAATAACAAGACTTTAAAACTGTTGAAGATTGAATTCATATCGATAATTCAATATCAAGGAGTTCACTAATTATATATCTAACCCCACAATCAAATGGAACATTCCTCTCTCAGGGTCTGAGGTTTACGACGAACAATTTTACAAAATCCTTTGTGTTTCTTCATGGTTACTGGCAAATTACACAACAAATCCATGATGTATCACCATTTAATTATCATTACTACAATCTACATGTCTTTTTTTTTTTATATTTAAGGTTAAAACTCACATATTAAAAGAAATAACTACACAAAATGGACAAGTTCGAAGAACATTCCGAGAGGATACGTGCTGTTTCAAATCACATGCAACGCAAAAGTTCGCACGCTAATGTGTACGTCTATGGAACTCGTGTAGTGTGGCATATGCCATGCTCTTGCGCAAAAAGGAGCATACATGAGAGACAGCAAATCATTGGATGCAAAAGTGCAACCTTTTCCTCTTATCCAATCAAAATGAATGATACATTACTGGAATCTTTGAAACCTCTGCTTCAATTTGGTATGCGAGACGGTGCATTTCGCCCATCGAATCAGTTATACAGCCAAGATAAGTATGAAGAGTTGACGGATTTTGGGCGAAAATCCGTTGACCTCCATAGAGAAAATGTCGTAAAAGTTTTTTTTTCTCGAACATTTTAAAGCAAAAAGTGCAACCTTTCCCCACGAATGAAATTATTTTAAATTTATATCATCTTAAAGAGAAAACATTGAACTTTAAAATTCAAGCCGAGACGGTATTAAAAGTTGGTTCAGTTAGGCTGTTGCTGTGATTTAGCGTAGGTAATGCATGAAATGGTAAGGAATTTCACGTGTTGTAGCTCACGGTGCGATGCGTGCGGAGCAGATGAACGACAGTTGAAAAACTGCGGGCGGGAGTGAGCTGTGAGTGAGTAGTAAAAACCGGCTGTACTAGTTCAGCCAGAAGTTCAGCCAGAAGGGATTAGACTACACAGCGAAGTCACTGGCAGGTGGCTATCTCATTAACTCAACTCTCAATTAACATAAGAAAAAGAGGATTATGGGGGACCAACAGGCGCCGATTGGGGAATTTTTCTATATGAAGAGCTTAATTCCAAAAGGCGCTAAATCCATTTTTTTACCAAAATGGAGTTATTAGTATGAGTACATACTAGTTGCACATGTGCATTTAAATCACCATTCCTTTTCTCAAAATAATGTTTCAGAAATATGAAAAAAATTGACACAAAAAATTTGTTTAGTTCTGTAGCATAACTAGTCCAGTGGTTTAGTAAGACGTAGAGGGCGTTATAGTTAATTGTGACATCGTGAGATGTCTGTCAGTCAGTCAGCGCTTAGCTTTCGTTGGGGCAGGTTCTATATAGTTGTGATCTGTGAGTCAGCGTCGGGCTGTCGTTGCGACAGGTCCGTTACCAGGAACGAGTAAAGTCACTTGAACTGCAGATACTGTGCAAGTATTGTTTCTTTAGTCCTGTCAGACATTCAGTGATTGCGGGAGTGAGTAAAATGAGAGCTAGTCCATGTTATTTCTTACACAATATAGTTTTGTGAGAGCCCACTGAGAGATATAGTCGATGAATGATTGTCGAGAGCGTGAACCGGGTTTTGAGAGACTGCAAGGCAGAACGCTACCCCGGCAGAGCCCGGTTACGCCACAGTTCCAAAAGGCGCTAAATCCAAAAGTGTTTAATTCCAAAAGGCGCTATATCCACATTGTGTGTTTTGATCAATCAGAGCGCAGTATTGTTCCAGTGACCCAGATTGACAACAGCTTTTAGCTTTTTGCTTGCATCGAGATCGATCATATTTCTGCAGTATTTACAGTGTTTTGACAGTCTTTAGCTCACTTAGCAGCATGGATGAGGGAGGGGTGCTAGTTGAGAGAACCAACAATCCAAGAAAAAGGAAGCGAAATGAAAAATAATTGGCCAAAAACCAGAACAAGGAAGATCATAACAGCGCTTCTGGTAAGTTCAGTCCCACTTACTCATTTTTGTGTTAGTGTGTAATTAAGTGCAGATGCATTTGCATTGTATTGCATTGAATGAATTGTAATACTAATAAGTAATAGTCTAACTAAGACTATTGCAATTATGTTTGCATGTAGTATGAGCTCAAGGCTTAACCAAAACGAATTACTAGATACAATTTTGTAATTAAACTGAGGCCTAGGGTAAATTACGTGTTTACTGCCGCGCCACGGCTTCGCCTTCGCCGGCTTCAGTCACTGGTCACTGGCTTTGGTCACTATCTGCCCTGGTGCAGTAGTTTATGGATATTTCACAAGCCTGTGTTACATCATGAAATAGCATTAGTGTAATGATAATTTGCCATCTATTAAGAAAATATCTGCTGTAAGTCTGTAACAAACATTTTGTATTTGAGTGAAGTCATAATCAGTGTTTTGTTAAATTTGAAGATTTTGTTTTCGTGGAATACCTGATGTTTACCATGATGAATTTTGTTTTATTAATAGGGAAGCAGCCAGCCATTGGATGCCAGCACATACCTCACAGCTTTTGTAAGGCGTCTTTGCTGACAAAAGGAGACATCACAGAAACTTTCCAGCACATACCTCACAGCTTTTGTAAGGCGTCTTTGCTGACAGAAGGAGACATCGCAGATACTTTCCAGGACTGCTACAGAGACTTCAACGAGCCGCGGCAAGATTCATTCATCATTTGCCACTTCCAACTCAATCCAGTCATGCGCCGTCAAGGAAATGGTCTCCAACCAAGGAGAGAGCGGAACTATGCCCCAACATTTCAAGTAAGTTTTAATCGAGTCATTCAAAAAAATTATCATTTGCTTGCAAATCAAATTGTTGAATACAGATCATACACAAATGCCAGAATTGATCTCAATTATCTCATTGCAATAATTTTCTGTTAATTTTAATTGAGTTGTGTAGTCACTGGCGGGTATTCTTGCTACTGGGGGGGGGGGGGGATACATCTTTTGTCATAAATAATATGCTATCTATGTTACACATGTCAAACTAGGTCGTATTGTTGTTTTTATTTTATACCGGTAGCGTCGGTTGAACTATAAACAACTGGGTCAAAGTGAATTCATGAATTCCCCTCGCGCAATCAACATACACTGCATGTCACACTGTGCAAAAAAATATGCACTCACGCAATGCAATTCTGCATGTAGATATAACATGCACGAGCAGTATAGGCAAGGACAGTTAGTGGGAGGGGAGGGGGGGGGGGCTATGCTTAGTATTACAAACTTGTTTATTTAGATTGAATGAAACCAACAAAAATAAACTTTTCATGTACGGTTTTTGTGATTTATAATACAGGTAGCTGGAAATGTCCATTAACAATGTTTCACTTTCAATTTACAGATTACGACACAGCAAGGGGAAAATGTGGAGGTATGCTCCGGAAGATTCAGATCCATCCTTGTACTTGGTAGGAAACGTCTGGGCAACCTAATGAAGTACGCATGCCATTCAAAATCACAGAGGCCAGACGCATGTACGTGAGACCATCTCCAGCCCCAGTCACTGTCGCCAAGCGCACCTGTAGATGAGTACACCATATTGAAGAGAGGAAAGAGATGGAGTACTCTTCGGGTCAATCAGCTCCCATTGCTGAGCTGTGTGAAGCCAGCGAAGCAGCGGGATGTAGTAAATCTTCTACGAGCGATGGGGGTGGAGCTACAAGTGGAACCGCTAGTAGGGTAGGTTCCTTTTACAAAGAGGTGTGCGCGCCTTCTGATGCAATGGACGTCGAGAGTGATGAGGATGGCGAAGGCATCATTGCTGCCTATGAAGATTGACATTTGATTTCATGCCTTAAAGTGATCAATTGACTGCATAATTTTGTTCCAAAGTGATATTTATTTTAGACTTCTATCAGATACCAATATCATCATAAAAGTCTTTCTTATGATGTGTACATTTTTCATAGGAAGAGAATTCTGTAAAACTATTGAAAAGGTTTAAAACTGATGTAAAATTGTATCACCTACTGCCCATAGATTTTCCTGGAATGCTTTTCATTTCATCCTTAGTATCTCCATTACTTGGAAGACATTTAAAATCAAAGGCTGTGTTATTGTTCCTGTCACCACAAGATAAAGTACAAGGGATGTTATCCAAGTGTAAGTTCCAATTGATGTGGCTTTCATTTTACACAGTTAATGGATCAGTTGATATTAATATTTTAAACTATTTAATTCAAGAACAGAAAAGGCATCTAAAATGTGCATTCATTGAGCAGTGCATTTGGAATCAAATCCCGTTTTATTACCCATGTATGCATTTTGTTGTAAGTAGCGCTGGTAATCGTTAATGCAAATTTACTAAACCAGAATGCATGCGAACAGATAATTAATATTTGGCGCTTTGCTACCTTCACTGTATAATAACAACTAATTGATTGTGGCTAATTTCACAACTTTACAGTAGATTGTACTGATATTGTATGGGTAGATTTGTATTGTTCCTTCTTCCATTAGGATGTTAACAAACAATTATTCAAATAATATGTATGAAGAATCAGCACTCAAGTATGTCTTTTATCTGCTGTTTATGAGGAGTCGGTTACATTAGTGAACTATGAATAATTTCCATCGTAAGGTATCTTCTCGTTGACATTGTTAAAGAAACTGTACATTAATGACTGTATGTTAATTATTTAAGTACTTGCCAATTCTTATATGTCTTAATTAACTCGCCGTTATGACATGAGATGATGAGTAAAGCAAATTTGCAAGATTTTCAAATTTTACACAATACAAGTCTTTACTGCCTGTTTATTTTGTCAATTTAGAATTGTGCTGAGTCACCCGAGTGTTTTTTTTTTTTAATTTGAATAGAGAGAACCTTTTTATGATTGAAGTTGCCCATGTGCTAACTATTTGCGAAATGTGTACAATCTTGATTGAAATTAGTGTGGAGCGAAAACGTGTAGAATGATGAGATGTGAGAAGTATGTTCAACATAATGTAGGCTTTCAATGTGTTAAATGGATAGATAAGTGTGTGTTAGACACTAAATTATAATTTAAAAAGTATGTTATTTCATCCGGACAACAAAAAACAAAAAAAATTGAAATGTGGAATCTCACATCAAAATTTTAATTCCAAAAGGCGCTAAATCCTTGTTTAATTCCAAAAGGCGCTAAATCCGAACAAATTGAAAAAATAAAAAAATATTAAAAAATAATTACTATGGCAGGATTTCTTTAAGCTATATTTTAATGATATTTGGGGGTAGATCTTTGAACTGTGTGAAAATTTGGCGGTTTCGTTGAAACAAAAGTGGTCTAACAGAAAACCTTGATTTACTCAAAAACACCAAAAGTGGATTTAGCGCCTTTTGGAATTAAACTCTTCATATAGATGGAGCAAGTAGCTACAAGAAGTAAAGTGTGGCTTTAAAGTGACTCATGTATATCATGTCATCAAGGGTGCAAGGGAGAGTCTTCTGAACAGGAAGTAAGTATGTTGCAAATTCAGCACTTATTTCGTATGAATGGATCATACGGAAAAACTCCTCTGCTTCGAACGTTTCTTCTGCTTTCTAAATGTGCCCTGCAGTCAGATTTGAAATAAATCTATCTTGCCGAATCAACCATCAAAGAACTTCTGCTCCAATAACAAACAGGTAAGGCGATAGAGGGCAAACCTTGTTTGACACCTCTCTGTAAATCAAAAGCTTGAGATCAATACCCATGATTTATCACACCACTGTTAATATTTGTTATAGCAATGAAATCCATAAACGAACTTACTTTATGCTTTAATACATGGCGTCAAATTATATTTAGAAACGTAGCGTATAATCTTTTTCTTAATCAGTTCTTTGGCAAATATACACACTTACACATGATAATTGTTATCTGATCAAGTTAATAATTTACATTTATGAACGGCAAACACGTTGGTCCCAAGTTCTTGTTCTCGACGTAGCTTTCCCAAACATATTACGTATATTAATTTAAGAATTAAATCAATAAAGAAGGCACGCAACCATGCGCAGGGCAGCGAAGCGTCTTTGAAAAAGGGTAGGGGGACCCATCAAAAAGAGTTACTTTCTGGAAAAGGGAGCACCTACTAAAAGAATCCTCGAAGCAAAAATATTTTTAGACATTGGTAGGGCCTTGGACCCCTACATTATGATTAGCATAACAGGGATGATGTAATTTAGGCGCGTACGCGTACGCAGGGGAGGGGGGGGGGGGGGTTGGGGGTTAAGATTTGAACCCCCCCCCCACCTATGACTTTTTTATGTGTGTGTTTTGGTGGAACCCCCCCCCCCTTTTTTTTAAATTTTTGTTAACAAACAAATAATAATAATACACAACAAAATTGTGGTAATGGGTGACCAAAAAAGCTGACCGTACTCAACGAAAGGAAATATCGATCGGCAAAATTTTCAAATTTTGGACCCCCCCCCCCCAAAAAAAAAAAGTCCTCTTTATACCCCCCGACCCCCCCCCCCCCCCCCCCCCCCCCCCCGCTTATTCAGCGGCTGGCTGAGTCTTTGCGAAATTTGTTGGGACCCCCCAAACAATAACAAAAATATGTCCTCTTACCTCCACCCCCCCAACACTTTCGAGGGGCTGGAAACATCATACTTTGAAGTTGAGTGTGATGGTCTGAATATTTATTTGCGAGCGAGCGAAGTGAGCGATAAACAAATTCAAAACTTGTTATTAGGTCGCAGTGCGCAAAAGGATAAAAGAGGAAGAAGAAAAGAAACGAAGGAGGATATCAATTTTCCCGCCAACAAGTTGTAGTTCGGGGGGGGGGGCGCGAAAGGCCCTTGCCTCCCCCCATCGCCTTTGTAAACCTAAAACAGAGAGAAGGAAGGGAAAGGAAAGGAAAAGAGGAGAGAAAGGAAAGAAGAAAAAAATAAGAAAGGTAGGGGAGAACTTTTACGATTTTCCCCGCCAACAAGGTGTAGATCGGGGGGGGGGGGCACTAGCGAACTGAATGGGGGGGGGGTGAGGGGGCTTGGGGAGAGGGGTGACATATGCCTCCCAAATATAATTCAAACGTGGTTTATTTCTGATTCGATACCGGTAATTTACAAATGTTGCTGAAATTACATAATTTTCCGAGATTTGTCCTTTTTTGTCGTTTTTTATGCGTTTGTTGGAAAATGGCAAATTCATAAAGGAAGAAAAAAGGGATAGTGACCTGCATTTGTTAGGTCACATCGTCACAATAGTAAGGTGTCAACATTTGCTCATCTGACCGTGATTAAATGCCTAAAACCCCGGAGCTTCCGGGGGCTCTGCCCCCTGGATTCCACCTAGGGCCCTAAGGTGGACACCTGGATGCTCTTCTGACCGTAATTAAATGCCTAAACCCCTGAGTTTCTGGGGCTCCACCCCTGGACCCCACACCAATTAATGACCTGGTAGTGTCACAAATAAGGTATCAAAATATGCTCATCTGACCGTAATTAAATGCCTAAAACCCCTTGACTTCCGTTGGCTCTGCCCCCTGAACCGAATCAATTGATAAAAGGCGGGTCCCTGGATGCTCATCTGACTGTAATATATTGCTTAAAACCACTGAACTTCAGGGGGCTGCGCCCCCTGGCCCCCATGCCAATTTGTGGGCTGCCAGTGTCACAAATAAAGTATAAAAAAAATGTTCATCTGACCGTTATTAATGTTTAAAACTCCTGAGCTTCTGGGGTTCCGCCTCCTCGACTCCACACCAATCGTCCCTGTTTTCACGAAGTGACGGTAGTGAGGAAAATCGCACATATTTTCACTTTTGATTTTTTTGCATTTTTGGACATCATTCACTAATACCTTGAACCTCACAAAATTTCAGATTATAATAATGTCTAATTATGTCACTATGACGATGACGTAAACAAGAAAATACCTAGCAAAAGGATTTTCTGTTTTCACGAAGTGACGGCCAAGTACGTGCTTAACAGCCGTCAATTCGTGAAAACATCGTTTGCTCTTTTCCTGCTTTTAATGTTTTCACGAAGTGACGGTAGTGAAAATTTCGCAGTTTGGAACAGTCACAGACCATTAAAAGGTGAGTTTTTAACTATTTTTTTTAGGTAAATTAATATGGTACACTCTTTTGATTCATTCTGATTCTTTGTAAGCCATAAAAATATGTCCATGAGCACAGAAATGTGTGAAAAATACACCGCCATTCCACATATCGCCCCATATACCTGTTTTCATGTAAGTGAATAAGGGAGTGAAGTATCATGTGATCCAAAACTAAAAAGATCAACTTATGTCTTAACAAATATACATCTAGACTAAATAAATTGGGTGGAGAGTCTTTCTTATTTAGCTCCACACCAAATATTAATGCTATAGATCTCTCCGGAGATCTCTCCGGTTCTTTTTATATCTGCTTAAGTTATAAATTTGAGCAAAGTTTTACAGAAAGTTAGAAAGTAGATCTAGAATCTAGAGACCAGAGTTTTACTTTTATTTTTTCAGTAATTTACTATTTAGCTAATTATAAATTTGATTTAGAGTCTAGAAGTCTAGTTACTCTAGATCATCATTTTATAATTATCAGTTTATGTCAGCCACTACTCATCAATCTAGAATCTAGAGATGAGTAGATCAGGATCTAGACCAGACTGAGACCTTTCTTGTAAGGCGTGCCTGGGGTTTAAGAAACTTCAGGGCTCCAAGCCCAAGGCCAACATCAACATTGCCAAGGGCAAAGGGAGTTTCAAAAATTATCATCATGCTGAGCTGAGATGACCTGGGATGTAGCCCCTCCTGGTTAACTGTAAGGGAATTCAATGATTTGCCTTTCATGCAAAGAAGGACATGAATGAACATTTAATTAAAAATTGAAAATTAGATACGGTCCTGCCCTGAAAATGAATAAATGGCACCATCCGAAAAAGGAATAC